AAAAAAAAAAAAAAAAAAGAAGTCCTTTCTTTGAGAGAACAATTTTTCTTCCCAAGCCAAACATCTGAAAGTTGGGGATGTCTCCATACCACGTAATACCATGAGCCGCACAGTGAGAACTGAGTGGGGAGTCACTAAGTTGACATTGAGGATGGGTGACAGTTGGAATGGCATGGGAGAGGACGTTACTGGTGGGTATAGCTGCTAAAGAGTAGAAATAAACCCTGCAGGTCACAGTTTTCATATTACTACACTATCCCTATTCTCTGTACCCTGTATTGCCTCACAAAGAAATGTCAATTTTTATGTTTAGAGTTAATTTAGTGATTTAATCATTTGCTTGAATTTTAGGTTCCTGACTATGTCAGTGTGATAAAGCAGCCAATGGACCTGTCATCTGTCATCAGTAAAATTGATCTCCACAAGTATCTGACTGTGAAAGACTATTTGAGAGATATTGACCTAATCTGCAGTAATGCCTTAGAATACAATCCAGACAGGGATCCTGGAGGTGAATAGTAACGTGTTTTTTTGGTTTTTTTTTTTTTTTTTTTTTTGTTTTTTTTTTTTGCTTTCAGGGATTGTTGGGACTGATTAAATTTATAGGGTTGACTTTTGTATCAGATGCTATGTTATAAAGAGTAGTTCACAATGCTGTTTAATCCTCACAACAGTTCTACAGATGAAGGTAAAGTTTAGAAAGGTCATACTGTCAACAGTAAAATAGATTCTAAAAGATTTTTTTGGGCCACAGAGCTAGCTCAGCAGTCTAAGCGCCTGCCTAGGCAATTGCAAGGACCCAGGTTTGCTCCCCAGTACCACATGCCAAGCTGGCGTCCAAGACTGGGCATGGTGCCGCACATCTGTAATCCCAGTGCTTGGGAGGCTGAAAACAGGATCATTACAAGTCTGATCTGTGTAGTGAGATCCCGTAGACAGTGTACTAAATACATTAAACAATTTTTTTTTTTTTTTTTTTGTTAAGACCATTGCAGAGGCTGGCGAGATGGCTCAGTGGTCTAAAGCACCTACTTGGAACAAGCTTGGGAAAGCACAGGGACCACGGTTCAATCCCCCAGCACC